CCCAGGGCCCTGGGATCATGACCTGAGCCGAAGGCAGGCGCTTAACGACTGAGCCACCCAGGCACCCTGGACAATGTTTATTAAATTCTACTATGTATTCATCACCATGCCAGAGATTGGAGATAAAATATTGACTATGAGGTCTCTGCCCTCAGGTTTCTTATAATATTGTTAGGGACCACAGACTATAAAAAAAGTAAACGAATGAATAAAGGAGAAAATCCCAGGCTGTGGTGAACTATGAGGGAAATAAAAAGCATCGTGAAATGGAAAGTAATTAGGGAAGGTTATCTCAGCTAAGGTGGTAAGGAAAGACCTCTCTGAAGAGAGAATGTTTGCACCGCAAGTTGAGGATGAAGAGTGAACCCCAAACTCTAGACCTATGCTGCCAGCTACAGTAGCCACTAGCCACATGTGGCTATTGAGCATCGATGGTCCTTAGTTTGAATTAAAATGGGCTATAAATGTAAAAGGCACGTTGGATCTCTAAGATCAGTTCAAAAATTGTAAAATAATAATTTTTACGTTGATTATGTGATGAAATTGTAATATTGCAGATGCGTTGGGGTAAGCAATATTAAAATTAATTGTACGTATTTCTCTTTACTTTTTTAACATGACCACTAAGAGTTTAAAATGACATATGTGGCTTATCTTATGTGTCTATTGCACAGTCCTACCCTATGTGGTTTCAATTTGCCGTAAATGACATGTGCTTTTTCATCTTTTTGTCCTTGATCATGCCAATGGCAATTGAATTTATGTAGTAGATTTTTCTTCGAGGATCTAAATCTCTAATATTCATTGACTGAAGTGTACAAATATAATAATTCAATGTGTGATCAAGCCTAACACAGCTCAGAGTTAAGAGGTAGTGGGTGGTAGAGAAAGCACAGAAAATTGCCATTTACTAAAGGAGTTGTGTCATTAGTCATGTTCCTTTAGAAATGTTCACAAAACAGATAAAGGAGGGCTCTGGGTCGGAAAGGTAGGCAGAGCAAGCTTCACAGGTAATGACAGTGTGGGACAGGATTTCTGTGGGAATCAGCAACAGCGAACCACAAAGACCTATTTCCATTCTCTGCTTCGTGAAGAAGATTCTGTTGTGTTGTATAGAACTGCCATTTCTTGCATATTAAAATAGAGCTTTGTTCTACACGTTGTTTTTGAACTGATGGGAATGTTGGTGACTTTCGTGCGCCTCTTTGTTGTCTCTCTGTCAGGGCGATGCTAGCAAGTTCACACACATATAATAACGTTACATTAATTCCCTGCAGAGAGCAAGCGGAAGAGTTTTCTTTGTGCCAGGTTATTCTCATTCCCATTTGTGGCTTGTGCCACGGGGAAGAGGTTAATTACTTTAAAAATGCACGTTTGATTTACAAGCCGAAATGTTTACGTTTTATAGTTTGCAAACAGTTTCGGACCCCAAATGTGATGGTTGTTACATAATCTGACAGTTTTGTGAGGAGAAACTCTACCCTTACTGGTTTGAGAGAGAGTTGAGTCATATCCTGTGAATGTGAAGCCACGGTATTTAAGCATCACGGGTTCCTCTTTCGTTCCGAGGGGCTGCAGTTCAGAGCAGTGAGTGCTCTCTGTGGAGAGGCTGTTATTGGCCCTTGGGGGGTGAGCAGCCTCTCTCGTGAGGATTTGGGAAAGAGAGCCAAGTCTGAATATGCAGTTGTCTCACTGGAATGAAAGATGTTCTGTTTATTTCTAATCAACGATGCTAGACACCTGCAAGCTCAAAAGTGCCTGCAATTTGCCATTTGTTTACAATAAGGTGAGTTCCATATTTTGGTTTATTCATTGCATCGGGACAGCCTGGAATGAACGTGGCAGTTTTCGTATCTGATTATGCTTCAGAAAATACCTTCTCACAAGTATTGAAGGTGGCATTTGAGATTCTAACACAAGTCATTTTAAACTTACAGTACAATCCATTTGCGAGATACTTAATTTAATAGATTGATAGTTCCTTTGTAATAGTTTTTTTTATATAAAAAATGCAATACTTGAGAGGCGGAAACATTTTAGTAGTTTTATATCATTTTAGTTTTTCTTTTTTTTTTTTTTTTTAAGGATTAAGTAGTACCAGTCTCTCTCTCTTTTTTTTTTTTTCTCCCTTTTTGCTATTTTCTGATTTTGGTTAAAGGTGAAACATGCATAAAATTCATATGATTATGCTTCGATCTTGCTCTAAATAACCATAGCTTGACAACTGTATTTCTCCACTGAAATAAAAAGTGCTATTAAAAATTATTAGGAAGTTTGAAGTTGAAAAATAATGAGAGCCTTTCGCCCTTTCATATTTGGCTTCCTATATAAGTGAAAGGCCACCATATTCATAAACTTCTGACTGATGTGTTAGCTTTAAAATGTGTATGAGTTTATCACAAGCCCACCTCCTCAGTTGCTCTTGGAGACACTCATATATAAATTAAATTATATGGATAGAAAAATCTGTGGATAGAAAAGTGAATGAGAGGTCTGTTTCAAATTCTTTAAGCTTGCTGCTGAGAGGTTGGGGTGAATGACAGGAATGCTGTCTTGGTTTTTTATTGATTAAAGAAATGACATCAAATCAGAACTAATGCTGGTACCTGGTGTCACATAACTTTGGACGTTCATATTTAAAGCCTATGAATTCTTTTGAGGTAGAAAAGGTGAATTTGATTTTGAGCTGTGAATAGCTGTGACTTTGTAAGATATTAATGAATCGAGGAGTTTTTGTATGTTTAGTGACAGTTGGCATTAGACTACTTTCTTCTTGATCAACCCACTGTCATGCTTATAGATTGTTTCATTTCTATTCAAAATTACACTCATTACAAAACTGCTTAATTCTAACTACGATGTAGAAATTACTTTTTGTTAGGTATATATTGAATAATTTGTTTCCATAAAGGTCAGGAGGTCAGTGAGCTAATGGAATGCATGTAGTTTTCCTCTTCTTTGAAGGGGAAATTAAAATTAGTCCAAATTCCAGGGGCACCTGGGTGGCTCAGTTAGTTAAGTGTCTGCCTTCAGGTCAGGTCATGATCCCGGGGGTTCTGGGATTGAGTCCTGAATCCTTGGGCTCCCTGCTCAGTGGGGAGCCTGGTTCTCCCTCTCCCTCTGTTCATCCCCCACCCCTGCTCGTGCTCTCATTCTCAAATAAATAAATAAAATCTTAAATAAATAAATAAAGTTAGTCCAATTTCCACACATCTTTGAAGGCAGTATTCCAAATTGAGAAAATAAAGAACTTTAGGGAAAATGACTTAGCACTGTGAGAGCCTTTGGGAACTTGCATAGTGAAAAGGCACATATCCCAAAAGATTAAAATCCAAACTATTATAAATAGAATATTCTGATACCACATCTGTATCAAACTCTACCTTTTTTTTGGTCTGGGCAGAAAGGGAGCTATTCTGGTTGGTTAGGAATTCTGCTTGAGAATTTTTCCTTATACTGTACATGAATTACTAAATGTCAACAGAAAGAACAGAATGCATCTACTTCAAGACAGAAACATGTGTTATGACACTTTCCATAGTTTCAGATTCTTAAATATGGATTATAATGGCCACACAAACTGTTGTTATGAATTAAAACTCAGACCGACAGAATGTTGTGAAATTAAGTCTTTACAGTCTGCTCTGTTTCGAATATGGACTTAGTCATTTACGACATTGTACAGCCAGCTGGTAATTACCTGGTTAGATAATTGAGACACCGTGTTTCCCTTCCTTCCTTCCTGTGGTCCCCATTCTTTGGCTATATTCTTTACACTTCAAGAAGGAGTGTGGGAAATGCATGGAGAGAGAGAAGGAAAGAGAGCAAACACACATAGTGTACTATTTCTATTTCTCACCTCTCTCTCAAAATGGTTTTGATGAGGAAAGAGGTCAGGTAGATAGCTAAAACGAGTCTTTCGATAACCTGTGGATCTTAGTTACTCAGGAAATCCCTTGACCTGTGAAATGAAGAATAACTGGGAGCTTGCTTGAGAAAACCTTTTTGGCCTTACAGGATTGCTTGCAAAGACGAAATAATTTCACACCTGTTGCTGTATTTTATTAACTGTAAAGTGTGAGACATATTTTTTGAGAATTTTGTTTCTTTGTCTTCCTATAGTAAAGGGGCTGACAAGACATCAGAGATACTCAGAATTCCACTCTGGATTCAGAATATTTCTTTTCAGTAATAAAAGGCTCCATTTTCTCCTCTTTGTAACCTATTTTACTGGTTAATTTCCAGTTTATATAAAAATATTTTGCAAGGATGAGCTCCAGAAATAAAACCCCAAAATCCAATTTTACCTCAGTCCTAGTGCTCCTTTAAAATTTCAAATACCTCAAGGAAAATCGTCCTCACTCAAAAGATATTTATCAAGTGGCAACTAAATTTAATTTTCAACCTAAAGCAACATTATGTCCCTCAACTGAGGACTGCATCAGCAGAAGCACAAAGCATGACATTTTTCCTTTGTTTTTAAAGATTCTTCTTTTAAGTAAGGCTTTGACAGTTTCAAAAAATTTTTTTATAGAGTACTTATTCTGACTCCTGAAAACTAAATCTTTCTGGAAGATGCTTTAGATCCTATTGTCTCTAGTGAATCCTGCTGGATATCAAAAGTAACACACTTGCTGGTAAAAAGAAGCAGTGCTAACTCTTCCACCTACCTCTGAAAATCAGTTTTGAGGATCAAATGAGACTGTTGTTGTGAGAGGCCTGGTAAACTCCACAGAGCTTACAAATAACACTATCACAAAGTAAAATATACAAAATTATGTATTTGGAACAGAACTTGATGTCATCTTACAAATTCTCATTTCACAAAGAAGGGAATTAAGAGCCACTAGAGTTAAAATTGTGCTTTGCTTCACTCAAGCTAGTATCTGAGTCAAGACTAAAGCCTGGGTCTTTCTCTCTGCTCAGTTAGCTAGAAATTGATCAGAAGACTAGCTATTTCTTGAGTTTCACTATTAGGGGTTTTTAAAAAAATAAATAATATTTTTCAAATATTGATGAACATCTTTATTGGAAGCTATATCCCTGGAGAATATTTTGCAGAAGACATATGGCCTTGTGTATAGGTTTCGTGGGCTGAGGATTCTCTGTTGGATCTAGTTTAAAGTTTCGGAATGATTATCAAACTATAACATCTGACCCTTGCAATCTCTTAGTTTCTGCCAAAGTGTCCAAGTCTGTGTACTCATAAAAAGTACACATATGTAATGGATAGGGGTAGATTTTGTAGCTTTTAAAATTGTAGGTAGTATGGTAGATGGTTTTGATATGTTTGTTGAAAGTGGTTAGCAAAAAGAGATTTGTCCGGATGCTTACCCTTAAAAAGAGATTAGGAAAATTTAAACAGCCAGTAAGACTTGCAACGATTTCTGTTAGAGTTGACCTGGCTGTTTTACATTTATGAAACTCTTTTCTTTATCAGGGACATGAGATGGGAGAAAGATGACTTTTCAAGTTACAAAAGTTAATGACATACATCTTACTATAGCCAGGAACACAATGAGTTTATAAAGAAAATTTTTCTTTAAAACCTCTTCGTATTAAGATTGAAAGACCTGTTAATTAAAAATTTTGTTTTGTTGGTGGTATTAATAAAAGTTATTTTTTACCCCAAAGAACCAACACATGATCATCATTTCTTTTAGTAAAAGTGTAACTTATATGAAAGGTGCATGCTATCTGCACATCTTATACTCCAACTTACAGCTTCAGTAAATAAGTGAAATTTATCATCATGCTATCTTATGAACAAATCCTAGCCCTGCTTGGAATAAAGTTCACGGCTTACTTTGATTCCTAGAACTATATGAATCTGCTAGATAGCTATTAGGAAATAAAGGAAAAGAGATGAGCTAAAGAGGTAAGGGTCTTTAAAAACTTTAAAAAGAAATGCAAGGTGATGGTGTGTGGTTTAAGGGACAGAGCCCTTGGCACTAGGAGTGTAGTGGCAGGAATCAATGCTTCTTTGTGATATTGACTCCTCCCATGGTTTTGGAGGTAACCATCTTCTCTTGGTTCTGTTTTTCTGTCTGCAAAGCTCAGGAAACACAAGAAAGCCAGACAATCATTCCACATACCCTATAGGTGCTTGGTAAATATTGATTAATGATCCTGTGAACATCAAAGTGAGTGAAACACTTTGAACTCATTTGAAGAGTCTATCGATGTGCCATTGGTATAAATGCCAAGGTTTATAAAACATCCCCTTGGGAGAAGCCCAAGGAAGAAAGCTTTGGAGTTGGTTTGTTGGGTTTTAGTTCCCTATTAATTGAGAAGAGATGCTCAAATTAGTCACTTGATCTTCCTTTGCTTGAGTCATTTCACTAGTAGAATGGGATTAGTAATATTTATTCATGGCAACTTATAGCATCCCCAAAAGTAATAAGTCAAGTTCTATATTCCTCACTCCACAAGTGATTTTGTCCAAGATGAAAACAACAGTAATGGCTAACATTTAATTCAGCCTATATAATACCTTTTTATGAACTATCTAAATTAATTTCTTAAAACCACCTTATGAAATTTGGACACTATTATTATTCCCATTCTCCATCTATCAAAGATAGAGAAACTGAAGTATTTAAAGTGATTCATCCCTGACATCATACAAATGGTTGTAGAAGGACCAGAATTGAACCAAGGCTGTCAGACTTCAGAGCCACATTACCTGACTACATTTTAGGCTACCTCCAGTTAGAATCCCTTGATCCCAGTAATAGGAAGTGACTGTTATAAAGTGCCACAGAGAGGAAAAGAAATCTTTTTAAT